AAGAGCAGGAGCTGAGTCTTGCAGCAAACAAAGAACAGCTAAAAACAGAACATGCAGACAGAAAAACAGGGAACAGAGGCAGCCACGGCAGGGCAAGGCGGGTCTATTGCAAGGAGGGGAAGCGGGCAGAGGGGGCGGGCAGAGGGGGGAGTGGGGGGGAGGCGGGGGGGAGGGGGTGGCCCAAAAAAGGCCAAGAACAACAGCAAAAAGTGAGGGTCGCGCAAAGGCCGAAAAGTGAGGTAAAATCAAGGGAAGCCGGGCGGGGGGGGGGGTGGAAAATGGACGCAAATTCCAACCGTTTGGAGTGCAGGGAGCAAGATTAGGTGGAGGGTACTTGAGGTAACCCCCAAAACGCCTGGGCATCGGCAAATATAGTGCTGCTGCGAAACCCGTCGCACAGCGATAGATTAGCTGATTAACACAAGGCTTCGAAATCCACAGCCGAAGAGCCTCGTCTTTGGCCGCACGTCTATTCTACTGGCAGGATCTGACAGGTATCAGGGACAGGATGGACATTTGGTGGCTTGCTTGTGTTCTGTGCTCGTGTGCTGCAGAATGCATGACTTTGGCAGGTCGAGTGCACACAAGCCAGGAGCCGGGTGCAGTGTCACAGTGACTTCACATCCACACTTCACTCGCGAGACTCTGGGCCCTGGAGCCAAGGTCCTCGAGCGTGCCAAGAGCTTCATTGGCTTAGATGTTCTACAGGCTCGACCCTTATTGTAGCTGAGTGTACCATGGTATTTGAGGCCGGAGGCATACCGAGCAAGCGGGCAACAGGGGCCTAATATTCCATGACGAGACCAAACGTTCTGATGCACTGGTAAGATGCGAGGAGAGACCGTTCCTGCCTAGTCTTGTCACTAGTTAGTTGAGAGGCCTCTGAGACATCTTTAGCCTCGTGAGTGTTGGGATTCCAGGATCTCCCCGCGAAGCTTGCAAGGATTCCGGGTTGAGCAAAGCAAAATTGGTGTCGCTGAGGTCGCGAGATTGGCACACATCGGTTGTTCTTCTTGACGTTCTGGTTATAGAATGTTATAGATTCCATGCGCAAATGCAAGAGTTGACACGGAGATGAGTGTCCATTGTGAGGCGATGGTTTTGCAGTCGTTGGTGACTCTGCTTGTTTGTGTACCGCTTCATGTTAAAATGCTTAACTCTGGGTTTCCATCCTTGATCGGTTTATTCTCCAGAGTGCGGCTCATGCCGGAAACATCATGGACTCAAACCGTCGCTGCGAAACCGTACTTTCCTGACTCCAGCGCACTTCGCTCCAATGACTTATGCAGATACAGTTACATCTTACAGCACGCTCCTGACAAGCGAGCTAGTCACCTCGGTAAAGACTTCTCTCTAAACACTCCGTGCAGGTCTCAATTACTCGTTTAAGCACCTCGCTGACACTTTGGATGTCTTAGCGGCTCGTACAAAGGACGGTCGCTGCAGGGCTCTTGGCGTTCTTTCGTCATATAGTTGCTTGAATAGTTGAATGGCTACCAGCTTGGCATTGCCTCTGGAGCGGCAGTGGGGTCATACTCGCTTACGGTAGCATCGCAGACACTGCAAGCAGCGGAGGCGTCTACTTGAGCTTGTATGTCAATCGGGTCGTACATCGGGACAAGATCCATGAACATCTCGGCCTGAAGTAGAATCATGAACCCAGACACCAGACGGACATCAGTAAGTTACTTAAGCATACGGTGGGTGGATCTGAACTACGTACGTCGCATCCAACCTTTTCAGATCATCAAAGAGGCTTGCATCGCAAAAAGCAACAGGTAGCAATTCGCTACAGTTGAAAATGCTTGGATTGAGTTGGCAGCATGTCATGCTGCAGTTACCTACTTAATTAAATTGCTTTGCAAGACTTCGTTCTAGGTGAGAAGTCGAGTGAAGAAAGAGCAGGGGTTCGGGCGAAGACAATGACCAAGGAGTTTACCACAACTCTGAAAAGACAAATGAGCCCCTGGAAGGGCGAGTCGAAGTGAAGCCTGCAGTCTTCACAGGTCCGAGACCGCCTGCGAGAGGCAGGACTCACAGCTGGCCACGAGGCCTCTGGGCACCTTGCAAGCCTTGACATTGGGATTCCGCTGCAGCATGAGAGCATTCGTCACAAACTGACTAGCGCCGTTCCAACGTTTAGGCTCTGGCCGAAAGCCTGATTACCTTCTGCATCACTGGCATGTCGTGCCCCCGGAATGTTGCAGAGGGCTGTTTTACCGGTTCAATCCACCTTTGCAAGCGCTTCAGGTGTCGTATCTGGAATGTCGAGGAGGCTCACAAGCTAACAAGGACAGGACGGTTGCATGCTGTTTTTCCATGCAGCTTTGTTTGCTTGTGCATGACTTCGGCCGAAAACAATCCGGTACTGCTTGCTCTGTGGCACATGAGATTCCATTCGAAGCAAGCGGGCTGGACAAGACAAAGCACTCAAAGTCGGCGTGGCATCGATCGTCATGCCCGTATTCTCTCCGACGATCCTCTCGCCGTCCTTTCGGCTGCCTGAGACGGCGGCACCCTGTGCTGGGGCTTTCGTCTCTCGGGTGGGTTTTTGGTTCACACGCCTGCAGGGACACCAGGCCCGAGCCAATAATATCGAGAAGCCAGAAGAAGAGAAGAAATGAAAGTAGGGAACAAAGGAGAGCCTGAGCTTGTGAATCGCCGTACGCTGTAGGTGCGCCTGAAGCAGGGACGGAAGCAGAGAGCATCCAATCTTCACGAAGAGTCGACGTGTGCAGACACGCACTTCTGATGCGATTTCTTTGTTGAATGCTTCCACCATCTTGCGCCTGTCGCTAGGCTGCACAGACTAGTTGCGCTGAACCCGGAGCATTCACAGAAGGAGCCTTTGCAGGCGCGAGTGACAGGTCACTGAGAGATCCCAGTTGATCACGAGCCGCCTGCAGGCCTTTGCGCTGCCAAGGCTGGCTTCCTCAGCTGTGGTTTTGGGTGTTTTTTGCTTCTGCTGGTTGAAGGTCCGATGACTTGGCAAATGTGGATGATGGCGCAGGCAGGCAAAGATGGATTCCTTACGTTTTTGCAGCTCCGCCATGGTGATTACTGTACGTACTGCACTCGGAGGGCTTCCATTGATTTTCGTTTGAACCAGGCTTGCTTCTGCGGCAAAGGTGTGTTTGCGACTTTTGTCGACAGGCTCATACACCGTAGTTTCCCTTATTTGATGCTCTTTGGATGTGCAGTGGTCGCGACGGTTACAGTTCAGTGGCAATCCAAGGCAGAACTTAGGACCTGGTTCTTTCCACTTGAAACATTGGGCATGAAACTTGCCAACATGAGACATTTCGCAGGAAACACGAACAAACATGCGCTTTGCCGTGCGTCCGAAAATGCTCAACGGCTCGATTCGATGGCGTTTTTGCGCTTTGGGAGACCGTAGCTTGACAAAACTGTCGCATTCATTGGCCACTTTGGCGTCTTGCGAGACGAAGACGTGTCGCGTGCAAAGCACCGCATTCTTCGGAAGCACAGTCTCGGGAGTGCCACAGTCGAAGCAGCCAATGGTCAGAACCTCGTCTTGCATGGCCCTGCGCCAGGCGACCGGAATCCATCGTTGCCGCGAGCGAAGGCTGTATTCTCGGGAGATAGATCCTTGGCAGCTGTTGAAGATATTCTTCTGCCTACTATCGCTTGCCTCTGCTGCTGTTGCTTCACTCAGGCGGCTTGCGTGCAGTCCCAGACAAGCTTCAGGCTGTGCATAGATATGATATTATGCATCCATGCAATGTGCCATTGCAAACTGAAAGTCCGATGGTTGGTTATGCGAACCTCCGTTGACCGGCTACAGGAGAAAGCTATCTCCACTGCTATCCACGTGGGTTGTCGTGGGTGCCCGGCTCATGTAGAGGGCCTTGAGTCAATATGAGTCCACGAAAGTGACGGGAGTCTTGATTTCTCCCTGGCCAGGCCTGCAGCGCGAGTGGCTGGAGCTGCAGCAGCTATGACTGTCGAGGGCTATGCGCGGCTCTGGCAGCATTCAGATGCAGATTGCAACAACATGAGTTTATACGTGTGTAGATCTCGAAGTCGTGCCTCGTGCGCTACATCCTGCCACTCCCAGAGTTGCAGTCACTCAGCCAGCTGCAGTTAAGAGACGACTATTGAACTATTGCGCTCATACGCTCAGCAATTGTATTCTCGAGGTAGTTAATTACAGAATTTGCATGCACAGACGGAAGCGGCCATGCAATCTCGGACGGGATGACTTTCGGGCTCCTGCCTCAACTCGATTCGCTTGCACCAGGTTGTACAAAGAAATTGGTCGGCATTGCGAGCCGCTCGACAGAATGACGAGAACGGAGGGGAGTTGACAGTGACTTGCCTTTGGACTGTTGCAACAGGTCAACTATGTCTGTTATCTTACGTCATTAGCCTCTATAGTAATGTTTATGCGTCGCCCGCGGCCACGCGGCCCGCATTTCATCATATATCTTAAACACGCTCCCTCATTTGGCGACTCCGGTTCATCATAAATCTTGAACACGCCCCTTCAATCCCGGTTCATCATATAGATCTTCAGCAGGCCCCTCCTTTGTCGACTCCCGTTCATCGGATCATCGTATATCTTAAAACAGCCCCCTCATTTGGCGATTCCGGTTCATCATACATCTGCCTCATTTGGCGAGGCGGTTCATCATATATCTGAAGCGCACCCCGTCCTTTGGCGATTTCGGTTCAACCATGTTCATCATAGATCTTAAACACATCCCCTCATTAAACGGTCCTGCTTACTGCTTCATCATATATCTCAAACACGCAGCGTCCCTTGGCGATCCCGCTTCATCATGTATTTTAAAGACGCCCCTTCGTTTGGCCATTCCGGTTCATCATATAGATCTTACGCACGCCCCTGTATTCGGCGACGCCGGTTCATCATCTATCTTAAACACCCACCCACAGAGCACCTCGAGATGCGGATGCTACGGTGGAATGCATCGAAGGTTGTGCCCGCTACACAAGCACACACCAGGCAAAGCATGCTGCATGAAACTATGACACAGCAGGCATCAGGAGGCCAACCTCGGTCGAATTTCTTGTGCTTGATTGAACAACTGAGCTGCTTTGGATGGTCCGGACATGGTAGTACTCGTGCGAAACGCATTTTAAAAGCTGCTGCTAGTGGGAGATTTCAGGCAGCTGGAAGGGAAGAACATCAGCTCGGAGCAATTCACGGCTCAGATCTCAGCAGTGGCAAAGAAAGCAGAGGCGTGACACCAGTTATAGAGTATCCGAGTATCTCTGCTGCAGCTGCAAGTCGCTTATACTTTGAAGTCGTGATCCTGTACGTTGTGTTAACTTAGGAACGAATTTGCGAGAGCACCGTGAGCTCTTCTGGTCGGGCGATTGGTAGCTTGGCCGGAGCCGCGGTCGGTCAGGCTCAGCGCGCCATGCCCAAAAGCAGGACGTATATAGCTATAGGGATACACTCATTTCATCTCATTTCTGTCTGTCCTTTGACCCTCCTCGTGAGGCCTCGATTCCTGTACCTGTGGTCGGCGCAGTGATCGGTGGAGTTGCAGGCTCACGGGCGGAATAGCTGTCTTCTCGCCAGCTTAAGCGCAGAGGGCATGTACTGCTGTATGTTTTGCAGGTGCCGCTTGTGGTGGTTTCTATGCCAACAGTCTGGTCCGTGGTGCTTGGCGTTTATCAGGCCATCTATGTCCGTTCTCTGATTGATATCTGATATCTATAAGGAAAATGGTCCTGGCAGCATTTCGGTGCAGGCGGCAAGGCAAAAGGTGGCGATGACATCGTCAGATGCGAAAGCCCTGCATGATTATTTGTTTGGTGGTGAGACTGACCCCTTGAGGAATGCAACGTTGAGTTTTGCCCTGGGCAGGTTCAAGCAGAGTATAGTTGTATACTATACTCAACATTATCAGCAAAGCTTAAGCTTTTGGACTTGAACGCGCAGGGAAGGCAGAGGCTATCAAGTTCACGCAAGATCACAGAGCAGGTTGAGCACGGGACCGCCGACAGCAGCAATCACGCTTTCGACAATTTCGAGAAGGCTTGCTGTTTTTGACGCCTGTATGTGCCAAAGCTGTTTGGTGCTATCGGTGCCTTCAGGAGGCTTGTTCTGACAAGCTGGTACAAGACTTCGTTCGCTCGACGAAGCTCTTCGAAGCGGAGGTTGTTGGGCAGCAGTTTGGTTGCCTCAGGTTCAATGATCGATCGTGCGTACCTTGCCGTTCAAAACGCATCACCACACGATGAGCTGTTTTGCCTATGAGCCGCCACTCTGCAAGCCTTTGGACTTTGTGCGCCCCGTAATTACCTTCACCCTGCCAGGACGATCAGCCCATGCAATTCCAGGGGGAATCGGAGGATCTCCTCTGACAGCCCAGGCCGGTTCCGTTCACATTGCCAAGCCGATAGTCAGAGATCAGTCAGTCATCCCACCCAAGCAAACGCTTCGGCAAGCACTGGGAACTGGTGAAGCACACAGACTCGGAACTCAGACCGGAGCATCGGGACCCTGGCGCAATTGGCCCTGCATATCTCTCGTTTGGAGCCACTTCTTGTGCGCTCTGCAGGAATGACATCTGAGCTGTCAGGAGCGAACTGCCAGGGATTCTGTGAATTTCGCAATCAGAAATCATTGCATTCGTGTCATAGGTGGTTGTGTGGTTAGCAGCAGCTTCAACTCATAGTTGTTTGTTCAGCATGGTTACCCTTGAATGTTTGCATGGCAGATAGCTTTCTCAGTTGTGCAAAGACAAAGTCGTGTCGGAATGTACCTGAGCTGGACTAGACTCGATGTTATTGACATGCATGAGCCCCTCGCCTCAAATCGGGAATACCCTGAGCATCGCCTGCTGGCAGGCGAAGAGTGAGGAGCCGACTCTGTGACTGCACTTTTCAAGCTGCGCAAGCGATGCCAGCGCTGTACTGCCGACGTCTATTTGTCGAGAAACCTTTGCCAAAGTCGCAGCCGCTTTTCCTGAAAGTGCAGTCCAAAACTTAGAAACGTGCTTACAAGAGCGTTGCAAGCTCGTTTTCAGCTGTTGTGGCGGAGAGTGCCCAGCCCGCTTGCTGCCTTGAGCCGACTCGTGCTTCGTGGCTCAGCGAAGCGGATTAGCCATGCGTCTGACATGGAACGTGGCAGTTTTCGTTTTACTTTGATTCGATATTGTCGAGATGTATATGATAGAGTGTGACAAGCCTCGACCACGAAAGTGTAGTGAGTTGTTCGAGACATCACGATGGGATCTTCTCGCGGCATATTCTTGATCGGTGCGGTGCTCTGTGCAACCAGACTGTGCCTCCCGACTTCATTTGCAGCCCCATCGAGACCTGCAAGACGGGACAATGAGTTCAAACTGTCATCTTTGGAGTTGCGGGCAGCGGGTTCCGAGTATCACATGGGTCAGGATGGTCTGCATGACAGGGCATTGCTCGCAGGTTTGAGCGGACTGGCATTGAAACCGCGATTCAGCCATGTGCATCGGTCGGCAGGTTTCGGCGGGAGCGGCTTGAGCGGAAAGTGGGGCTGCTACAAGACGGAAGGGGACATCGATGCATACTGGAAGGCTGCTGGCCTGCCATGGCTGGCACGGAAAGGCTTGCAGCTCATGGATTGGGGTGCCGGAAAGAACCAGAACGTGCGAGAGTTTGCACAAGAAGCAGATGACATCGAGATGGAATATTCGTTCCAGGGCCCAGGGCTTGGAGGTCTTGGCTTCACAGAGAAGTATAAGGTGGGCAATGGAGTCCAGGAGATTACTCGCATGGGCGGTGCCAAAATACTTGTGGATCCTGTTTGGGAGTCAGACTCCGTCTTGCGTGTTACGTCCCTAAGCTTGATTCATGCGCTGCGATTCTGCTTTGCATCAAGCTTGAAGCCGAAGCCTGAGATGTCCAAGGAACATGAATCCCGCGAAGCAGACTCAGGGGTGGACAAAGTCAGTCCTTGGAGGCCAGGCATTGCGCTTTCGATCCAAAGCATCGGTGAGGAGGGCTGTCGCTGTCTTCGTCCCTACATTTAGCTTCCAGGGCCCCTGTGGACCATACATTACGCGACCCCCGAATGCGCGATGGTCGATATGCACAGAATGAAAGGGCCAGGCATTTTCATGCAGTTCTAGAGTGTGCAGGAGAGTGCAGGGTCAGAGAGTGATGACGACTGCGAGATGGGCATTCCGAGCTGCGATCCTACTTGCAGGGCGCTGTTAAACTCGAACTGAAGGCATCCGCTTCACCGGTCCCGTGACCTGCCAAGCTGCAAGTTGGCTCGTCCTTGCCGAGTGCGCACACACACACACACACTCTCTCTCTCTCTGTCTCTCGCTCTCGCTCTCGCCCGCTAGTCGTGTTATGTGGTGTTCTTTCTCTGGCTTCCACACGAACCCGCGAAGCTTGCTGGCGATGAGCAGGAAGAGCGAACTGAAAACGGCTTTAGCTCGAAATCCGCCACAGTTGCCACGACATGGGGGAAAGCCGTCACTGTGCTCTCGAGCCATGGCATGCAGCACTGCCTGGGATGTCAGGGCAGTAAGGCGGTTGTCATTTCTTGGCTTAGAGGACTATCAAGAACCTTCCCTAGTGTCCATCTCCTTTCTTGAGCCCACCCAACCTCGGCATTCTGAGGAAGAACGCATTGCTTTCTTTTTCTCGGCCCAAGTGGGGCTGTTCTCGGTGGTTGGAGTGAGAAGTGGGTGCGTGCGGGAGCAGAGCAGAATTCTCCAGCGCTGTAGAGGTAGCAAGGACGAAGAAGCAAAGAAAGAAGCCAGCGAAAGCGAGGCTGCTGGTGATGGGGAAGTGACCTGGCAATATGGGAGGGTGTTCTCGCACTGTGCCCTTGCGCTGTTCTCGGATCGTGAGGTCATTGATGTTCATCGGTTTTACATTGAGGAGGCAGGCCGCGAATGTGTTCCCGAGTCTTCCCAAACTGCCTAGTTACTAGTTGAAGTCGATAACTGTTTCGAGGACAGCCTCGTTCTCGAAGCTGACTCGTCGCCATCTGGAGGGCCAATTGTGAAGTGGTTCCTGCGCAAGCTTCAGTAGTTGAGACTACATGCTTCTGTGTATCTGGGCCAGAAGCTGCCTTTCCACAAGAGGGGTACCACAGCAGCAGTGGTATTATTGATGCAGATTCTTGAATCTCAATTCACAAAGGCCGTTTGGAGTTCTTTGTTAGGTGCATCGACATACTGCATTTCTGATTGTTCCAGCACTGTACACTGCCGTCATGAGCTGCGGCGCCTTTTGTGCCCGTGCCATTCCGGACAATGTCGCCTTTTTACAGGGATGGCACTTGTGATGGCAGCTACTTCACCCAATGTTTTATGACAGGCTGGTGCAAGCCTGATAGCTTTCTATTCTCCTGTACGTGTCAGAAAAGACAGCTTCGCATCAAGGACCGCTGCGACGAAGACGATACAGGCTTCATTGAGACTGTTCCCGCCGACTGGATCAAAGGGCTTGCAAAGAGAAAGCCCTTCAGCTGCTTTTGCTAGCAGGTGTTGACGGACCAGTCCGAGGATCTCGAAAAAGGCTCGGTCCTCGGTCGTGCAATGGCGATGGCTCTTGCGTTCACGGCCCCAGTGTCGGGATACTCCAAAGTGACGCAGTGGAAGGGTGCAACAAGTGGAAGTCTTCAAAAGACTCCGTCAAACCACAGCGGCCGTGGCCAGACTGTCATGGCCATCTCCATGGCGACTTTGACATTTGTGGGAAAGATGCAGAAGAGGCCGGCGCCATCCGGCACCAACATGCTCTCTGAAACAGCTGAGACACCCGAAACCCCCAGCAAGAGCAACAACACCTATGCCTACAATTTGGTGAAGCTCTGCCTGGTGATCACGTTGGTGCCTTTCCTATTCTGCTTGGGCAACTTCTCCTATGATCGGTCTTTGAGTGACTTTGATCTTGAGTATGGGCCGCACCTCTCTCATCCTGCATTGAGGGCCACCTCAACCATCCAGGCCATAATGGTATTCGCGGCTTTATTCTGGCGTGAGAAGAATCGCAGCGATCCAATTGACAGACTCTTTTCTTGGCTCTTTGTGCCAGAAGCTCTCACACATATTTTGTTGCACTTTTTTAGCCATCATTTGCCGTTTGCAAACTTCGCCTTTGCGTACGCATTCAGTGCTGGAATTGCACTTCCCGGCTTTCTGTCGCTGCTCTGCTACGTGCCGAAAGAGAAGAAGTTACCTTGGGCGTATCTCGTTCTGTATGTAGCAACGCAGATTCCCATTGTTGCGGGCTTAACCAACATGGTGGGCCCGGCGAAGATGAGGTTGAATTACGCGAACATCAACACGGCATGCATTACATCCCCCTTCTTCTACGGCATCCTCAAGCGATGGAATGATGTTCCCAAAAGCCCGGTGATCCTTGCCACATTGACCATAAGCTACCAAGTTGCGATGGGCATCATGGGACCCATCACAGGAGCTTCGGATCTAAAGCTTTATGATCCATCGTGCATCTTTCAACATGGCGTGGTGGACATCGGCTTTGGGATTGCTTATGCGGTGTCGATCATTTGTGGCGTTTTCAAGCCCGGTGTTCCACGACCTGCATGGGACTGAGAGCAGGCCAGGTAGCGGCAAGCACCGGAGGCACACGGTGCTTCGTAGAAAGGAGCTCGAACCATGGCTGTTCAAGGTGTCGTGAGCAGGACAGAGTGCCAGCACACAGGGCTCTGTTTTTGCCGGACTGCTCAAGCTCGTCACTGCGCATGTGATGCGTTCTTAGCAACTTAGTAGCTTAGCTATGCGGTGCAGTGCAACACAGTGCGACATTGAAGCCTCGACTCGTGCTGGCTGAGCAGATTCCAACAGTAGTGCAACACGGCTTGTTGCCTCTCGGCGCCTGGAAGATACAGGTTGCGCAAGATGGCGATGGCACGCGTACCAGAGTGTGAGGCCCTGGCAGCAATTCAGCGCAACTCTTTGCTCAGCCTGCAGTGCTGTTGTCATTCTATTCGGGGACAGCACGACATTTAAGTCCGAACCTTCGCATAATTCAAAATAAATTGGCGTCACATCTAGCGCGTACATTGAGCCATCACAAGATGTATCGTCGATCCTGCAGTTCAAAGGAATACTTGTGGTGATAGCCGAGCAGTGCAAGGGTGGAAGGTTTTCAGTGCCGACCTGAAATGGAGCTGCTCCAGTTTGCAAGATTTTGCAACATGCCAGGTTTGCAACGAGAAGGTTCATCTACCGCCCCGCTTCGAGGCTCCATGCAGTGTATCGTGCGGAAGGACTGCGGCATGACCCTACTTGCTTTGTGAGTGCACCCCGACCTATCCGGTGCCATCTGACTCATCGAAAGGCCAGCTCAGACACAGACTCAAAGTGCATGGATGTGTATTTGGTCTGGAACCCTATATTTCCTGCATACCGCTGTCCCTTTCAACCTGTGAACAGTTTAGGGTGCCGTTTGAACTCTGAAGGGCTCGCGAAAAACACCGAAAGAGAGGTGACAACTCGCCTGTAACTGGTATTGACTGTACTGGCAGACGAACTCTACGCCTCTACTGGCTGAAGTTTTGGGTGGCAGACGTTGAGATGAGCGTTGGTTGGCAAACCCCTCTGGCCTTGAGAACTCCTTAGCAAGTTGCAGACAGCACGTTTCAGGCAGTGTGACGGTGGAATGTAGAAAAGAAGGGAGGGTGTAGGCGGGCCAAGCTTCCCTCATGCCGATACGCGCTTGAGGGGAATCGAGTCGGTCGGGGGAGGTAATTCTAACATATTCTAACTCTACGCCGCCCGCCTCAGCCTGACTGTGGCGGCAGCATGTGTCTCCCAGTCTTCATGCGAGCCAAGAAGTTTTACTGATTCTAGGGGGAGGGGGGGGATGGGGGAGGGGGTTGTCAGAAAAGGACCAGGCAGGGGGGGGGGGAAGGGTGTGATGGGCAAGGGAGATATGTGGTAGGCGAAACTGTGGGCCAAAAACGGGTGTGACTGGACTTTCGGAGCCAATTTTGTGTGTGCAGATTTGGTCAGGCGCTCCGCAACCCCCTCCGGCCCCCCATGCAACCCGGCCTCTCTATTGCAGGACACAGCTGTAGATCGTAATTTGCTGGAACTTACAACCTTGAGCAACAGGCAGGGGTACATGTGAAACAGACAGGCACCTGGATGTGTAACATGCAGTGGCAGTGTTTCAACCAGGCACAATTTAAAACACGTAGAGCTGCATGGCCGTGAAGTCGGCGTTCTACATTGCCTGTTATTGCCCAAGCGAATTAAGCGCGGAGTAGGTACTGTACGAGCTACAGTTTGTGACTTGCAAGAAATTATACATCCTCAGCTTGGAGACAGCTTATGAAAAGAGCAGAGCACGTACACAAAACGCAAACGGATCTTCGGTCAAACTCTGTGCTCAAAAGAATGCCCACATGCTCAGTTCCCTTTCCAGATGGAAAGCTTACTGTATAAAAGATGTAGAGCTTGGCTCCACTTGATGCCAGCAATACAGTAGCATCGGTTGCGGCCTTGCCTTTCCAATGAGAAGTATATCATTGGCCTTTTTGACCAAATGGTCTTAGGAAGTACCTTCTCCTGAGAAATTCATCTTCCTTGGAAACGAGCAGCAGCACTACTGAAGGATACCGTCTTCTGTGAGAAGCCTATAAAACACTCGGTTCATTCCTTTGCGCTTGCCTTTGCCCTTGGAGGACTTGCCTCCCTTGCCACCTTTTGTTTTTCCACGAGGAGGTTGTGCGGATTCAGGAGGACATTGATAACCACAAGGGGCTGCACCAGAAGTTTCCTCCCTGTACATGGGAGCTTACTCAACCGCAATGTCCTCATGTTGACGGGTGTACAACTCCTCAAACTCCTCCGATCTCTTGGCCTTCAAGCTCTCGTAGGCGATGAGGTCAGACTTAGGTTTCCACGCAAAAGCGGATTTAATGTCTTTCTCAACGGTCTGCTTGAGGGCCTTGTCGAGGCAGGCGAGAATGCACAGACCGTTGAAAGGCTCTCTGCGTGCACAATCGTACAGCCCATACCCTTCAGCCCTTGTCACCGTATATTTGCGCCTGATGTCCGTATTGTCAACATTCCTCTGAATATAGCTGAAGAAATTCTGACCATACGCCTCAGAGACGACGCTGATCATGAGCTTAACGTCGTCCCGGACATGCTGGATCTCGCGGTGCACATCCCTTTCCTTGAGTTCGCGCCAGGAGGTTGCGGCGGCACATCAGGAGCAGGTGCGGGCTGATCTGTGAAATCCAACCCAACATCAGGCCCTCGACGAGTCGGACCTTTCGACTCATTCCAAAAGACAGTCGCGGACCAACTGTCGGCTGTCATACCTCCCAGACGCGGAAGGAAGGAGCTGCGACGTCGTCAGGAGGAAGGCATTGTTCCACACAATCACAACTGCGTCAGGATGATCATGGACCAACGGGAGTGTCTTTGCATATGTACTTCTGTCGACATTGCAGTACTCAAGCTCCAGGTATGGAAGAGTAAGCACCCTCATATTCTTGATCATGGGCCGCAGGGCAGCTGCATCGTGACATGAGGTAGTGTGACCATTCCGATCTCGAAAGCCTTGCTAAGGCCCTCTTCCAGCCCATGGGGAAACCCTGATGCAGCTGCTAAAGAAGAGGCCCTGGAAAGCCTGGTTGCCTGCCAGGTTTTAGGCTACACACCGGAGGGAGTCCTCGGCGGGCCAGTACATACTGGCTGATGGTGTCTGGCGCAGCCTCAAGCCAGGCCATAGCTGGAACCAACACCAGAGGTTGACCCGGCCCACAAAGCATGGTGACAGGCAAAGCTATGGGATTCCCAAGCGGCCGCGCAGTGCTTAGTACCTACGAGGAACAGAACTGGGGGCCAGGTTGCACGCAGGTGAGTAGGCGGGGTCTTGACTTGGAGCACCTGGGTTTAGCCATGCGTGAGTAGACCCAGCTCGGAGTACCCACGGGGAGAAAAGCCTGGGGTACCACTCTGGTTCTTTGCCAAGTGTTAGCACCAGCTCCAGAGGAGTGTGGTGGTCCCCCTGAACAACAGGGAAGCGGTGGGGGAGACACTCAGGCTGTGTCCTCACTGGTAGCTTAGGCTTAGGCCTAGGCTTGTCTTGTTTCACTTGGCCTTCGGCCGCACCACGCGAGCCTCTGAGACAGCACTTCCAATTCGGTGCCCGGAGGCATGTTGTCAATGTACGACAGAGTCTGAACCAAAGACGATGTAAAAAGGCGTTGTGGAGACTGAAGCGATTGCGGCAACTTCCTCTTGAGTTCTTCGCCAAGAGCGAATACTCTTCTGTAGAATCTGTAGAGGCAAGAACTGGCCCTCAGAAATCCTTTCTGGTAGCAGGTGCACCGCGCGCAAAGCTCCATCGTCAAGTCCTCAAAGATGTCTTCGAGCAAGTAAGCTTGTCTCAAATCGGAGTATCTGTTACCTGCAAGGACCTACAAGACACTGGGACAACAACACGGTGAACCGAGGATCGAGCAAGGTTGAGGAGTCATAGCCCTCAGCAATGACTCCAGACGATCCAAAGATCCTTCAGGTAAGTTCGTGAGAAAAGAAAGTTCACCTGCTCCCACTTGTTCTTGAAAGTCGAAAACGTCATGCTGTTTCGCCGCTTCAAAGAGCGACTACACTGAGACGACCAAAACCCAATATACTGACAAAGTGTCCTCGGTCATCCTGCCAAGCAGGAATGACTGGGCGCATGATGGGTCCGGCTCAGCCGCTAAGATCACCTTCCAAGCAGAAGCAATCGAAGGTTGAAACGTCTTGAAAGTCCACTCACCAAACAAGACAGGTTGACTCGAGACGAGACCTGAGTGACAGATACACTCAGTTAGGCCTATAAGTTGATGCGAGTTCTCAACGAGAAGGCTCTTGCCTGAAGTGGGCGAATGGAACAGATCTCATGCTTATAGCAGTATCCTTGAAATACCACTATCCAAGATCTTGTCACCAATCTGGTCGAGTGCCCCATCTTGCGATGAGCTTCTCGTATCATCGGCAGAGTACAGAGGCAAGGCCGCATCATGCCACGGATCGTGATCACGTCTCACCTTCGACTGATTGACTCGAAGCACAGTGCGATGCACTTCAACCAACACCATGGCACCTTTTTGCGACAACAATTCCTCGGACTCAAATGCCTGCAGATATCTTCTTCGACTCATCTTAATGCCAAACAAACACGCGTTCTCCTTTCTTGTACGGACCATCAGACGGCATTACTTGCCGTGCCAGGTCTTTTCGGAGATCGAGTGACTGCCGAGCTTCTTCATGAGCTCTCATGGCAATTCTCTGGAGATCCGGAGCGGTACGGTCCTCGTCAGAGGGATTCACAGAGAGCTGTTCAGGAGTACTTATCTCCGCGTCAAGCAGATCTGGTGGCCGTTACCTGTCTCTATCTCCAAAGGAGAATAGCCGGAGACTGTTAACTGGCAGTTTCTTGCCCGAGCCACCTGCTTCACTGCTTGACGGACAGTCACCTTCTCTGTGTAGCCTTCATCAGCCAAAGCTTTTGCCGTGATCGACCATGTGCGGTTGAACAAACGCACGGCAGTCTCTGCATGGTTTGGCCAAGGAGAGTACGAGGCCCACAAGGATATGGAGTAATGCCATGAAACTTGTAGTAACCCATGAACTGATCAGGGAAATATGCTTGATCTCCAACGGTTCCGTTAGGAGCACAATTGTTTTCTTCAGCCCATTGCCGCAAGGCTCCCAGAGCCCCTGGCTCTTACAAACTAGTACGAGCCGTAGCCCACAGGAGACTTGATCAATAATGACCAAAGCAACAATGACTAAAGCAACATATGCCTTTTGGCAAAACTTGATTTCCTCACAATCAACAAAGACAAGATCACCGAGGGAAGATGCTCTCAGTCCCGCGATTCAGTCTCGTGGAGGTGTTGGCACTGTGGTGCTACAAACACGGCAGCCCTCGCCAATGCGGTAGTACTTGTCGTAGAGTCGTAGATCTCTCCTGGCAAGCCAAGCACGTTGGTCCTTCGACAACTGAGCTGGACTCACGCGGTAATGCTTCACGTATAGTTTGTACCGCGCAACATCATTGCTCAATTTCTCCAGCGCGCGCTGGTACTTCGGAGAGGCCCTTGACACCTCTTGGCTGGGCAATGGAAGCGCGATCCTCCTAGGTTCTAGCGTTCTAGCGACGAGACCGCTGGTGCTCTCGCCTGACTTGGGAGAAGATTCTTCCTTTCCTCTTCTGGAGTCGGTTCTCCTGGGTCCGAAAAAGTGTACTCTTGAAGAT